TTTGAATAGTACCTATATGATAATTAATTAAAAAATATAATTTGTAATGGCATATTATGAAACTTGAACATATTTCATTAATTAAACTCAACCAGTACACATATAATTAATTATTGTATTCAATAAAAAGTACTTTACATAAGATGTAAATATTGATAACATGTCTAATGAAACCAAAAAATCAGAATTTACTTTCAAAACATATGGTTTGCAATGATAGAGATTTATGTCATTTCAATGAGTATTTTGGCACAGTAGAGCAATGGGAACGGTATGTTTATTCTGTTTTGTATTATTATAGTGAAGGTCAGGCATTATGTCAGGTGCTCCGGTATGACACACGATAGGAATATTCTGTTAGTTTTACTATATTAACTATTAAATGCTTTTAAATACCATAATATTGGCTTACATAAGAGTTATACAGACTGATCTGTATGCTTTTGTACTGGTATATGTAGACTAACTATAAATTATTTTATAATTGATAATATTTTTATATTTTTCAAGTATAATTAGGTTTTAAACGTTTTGTTAAATATATGTTAGTTGGCTAATTAACAAATATATACTATAAACTATATTCAATAATATATAAGAAAGTATAAATAATTAACGATTTACAGTATTTAGTATATTTTCTACACGTGTTAAATTTGTGTTATAAATAATCAAATTATTTTTGATTTTAAATCAAGACATTAAACGACTAGTTTGTTTGCTAAGCACGCAATCAATTGTCCACGGTGCTTAATAGGCTTATATAATAATTATTTTTATTATGTCTCTTAATATCCTATTATCTCTTAATATGCATTTGTTCATTAATGGGACAATGAATGCCTGGCTATTCATTTAATATAATTACATAATATTTATAATAAAAGTGAAATATATTTTCTGTTAGAAATATTGTATTGAAAAAAATATTTTTTTGATTGTATTTTATAACAATTGAATTATAAACTTAGTTATTATTCACACATTTGTTATGATACTAAATATTGAAATATATTTTTAATTTTAAACAAAACTTATTTTTTAATTATTACACAACTAATTAGTGAGCTTATGATTCCTTGTTAATTAACTAATTATTTATTTTAATAAATAATTTATGCCAAAAAACAAAAAATTGTATTTAAAAATAGAAAAAATAAGCAAAACAACTTAAATATTTAGTCTATTGTTTGAATTTTTGGCATATGTATGATTAAATGTAAATGTGTGTTTGTTTCGTTTGTTATGTAAATATATGAAAAATAAAAATCATTGATAAATACCCCGTCTATTTTGCTCACATCCCAGTAGCTTTTGAATAGTCGCACCTCCAATAGCATGACTCTGAGGGCTACGGATATGATAGTCGCCAACACTGCCTAGTAATCCAAATAAAACCCAAAATTAATAAGCATTATAAAGTAGTTAAAAACATTTAAACATGCACAAAAAATTAATTCCTAATAATTTTCAATACAATTAATTACATTTACAATAAAACCTATCAGGAATTTATTTTTAATAATATAATTTATATTGTAAACAACACTATAAATAATTGCTAATAAATAATAAACATTTCATATTAGCATTTTAATATTAAAACTAAATGTTTACTACAAAAAGTGACACATTATAAACTGGTTAATCGAGTGATTCATATAAAACTAAATTATACTAAAAGTTATCCCAAAAAAAGTCAATCAATACATACATCGGGCAGTTGTTCAAGAAATGAGCCGAAATACAGCAAAACGGCACAAATGCCGAAGCAGTTGATTATGGACACCAACTGAGTCCTACCACCGGACGACTCCTGTACGGCACTCCTGGACAGGGAGGCGCCCACCGGAATGCACCGGAAGAACGATGAGAAGAGATTACTGCCTCCCAGTGCTATCAACTCCTGAGAGGAGTCTATTTCGTAGTCGTGTTTCATAGCAAACGATTTGCCGACGGAGAAGGTGATGGCATAGGACACCACCGACACGCCCACACACGACACCCATACCTTCTGGACGAGGGGCCAGTAGTCCCACGGAGCCACTGGTGAGGGTAGGCCGCGCTCTATATGGCCGACCACTTTGATTTTATGTTTGTGCTCCAAGTCTAGTAAATTGGATGCTATCACCGATCCTATCACCACGAATATCTCAATTGGAAATGGCACCTGGACGCGCACATGGAGGTTCATAATGAAATATTGTTAAATTTTATAATTTGTAATTTATGAGATTAAAAGGGTTTAAAGTTATTAATAAATATTGTATCTCTTATTGAATATAAAGAATAATAGCNTCAATATTTACATCTTATGTAAAGTACTTTTTATTGAATACAATAATTAATTATATGTGTACTGGTTGAGTTTAATTAATGAAATATGTTCAAGTTTCATAATATGCCATTACAAATTATATTTTTTAATTAATTATCATATAGGTACTATTCAAAGAGGTATCACGCTATTTATGTGTGATAATAGTGTAAATAATTTAATGAAAAATTGTGTATAAATAAATAACATTGCACGATTTTCAATGGCAGCTGTTTAATTAATCCTGGTCAATCTGTTTTTAAAACTAATTTATGCATTTAGTTCAAGGGTACAATCAATAAAATGATCAATAATAAACACATGTCAATGTCAGGGGTACACGTATTTTAATTGTATACCTGGAGTATTCATGAATTTATTTTTGCACTAAAATTTAGTGACTAAATAGTCTTTCATTTACATTTGTATTTATTATGAAATTTTAATAAACAATTGCATTTATTTAGATTTCATAATAAGTAGAAAAGTTTGGATAGTAACCAAAATTACAATTTTAAACATAAAGGAGTGGGAGGGAAAGGGATAAGGACAAGTGTCAGTTTTTAATAATAATACAAAATTATAATACAAAATAATGTTACTATCTATATCAAACACAAAAATATAAAATCTAATTTTTCTAACAAAATAAAACTAATTCATTACTCAACTCTACTACCAGTCCATATGGTTGGTAACGTTCCTATCGGTCATAATACTGGACATCGACTACGGGCTCTATATTGGGCTCATTTGGTCGTTAATAACACTGATCTACAAGTCTCAAAGACCCAGAAACTACTTGTTGGGAACGGTAGGCGATCAGACGGATGTGTTTGTGCCGATTGGCAAATATGTGAGCGCCAAGGAGGTGCCAGGTATCAAGATCTACCAGTTCTGTGGGCCCCTACACTTCGCTAACGTCGACTACTTTACCGAAGGACTCGAACAGAAAATTGGTTTCTCACCAAAGTATACATTATTCTGCTATTAAGCTACTGTATACTAGACTACCTGTGCTGTAGGACAGGGATTTAATATCAAAACAGTTATTTATTTAAAGTATTTATTTAGTAGAGTAAATTCTTAACCCTCATAGCTTATACAGTATATAAAAACATCTAAAATTGTTGTTGGACAATAGTTACACAAGTATTGTTTGTATTAAACTAAACTCCTATTTTATTATGAAAACTGGTAGCAGCACCTGTAGTCTACAAAAATCAAATATTTAACAATATTTAATAATTTATTTATTTATTTATCACTTCAGAGAAATAAAGAGAAAATTAGCAAAACTGGAGAAAATCAAGAACTCAAACAAAATCAATTGTAACAAAAACATAACGGAGCACAGGAACCGACTGTCCTATAATAATAAAAGGGATACCATACCTAAGCTACCGACTCACCTGATTATCGACTGTTCAATGTTCTCATACATCGACACGAATGGCATTAAGACATTGAAGCGAATGATTGCCGATTACGGGGCCGTAGGTCTCAAAACATTATTAGGTGGTTGTCCCTCACACGTAACCAAACAGCTGGAAAGGGATCACTTTTACGCTGCCGTACCCGCACATCATATCTACATCAGTATATACGACGCCATACAGTGCGCTATACAACAGCAAAGGGACGGCATATCGATGGTGGCCAAGGAGTTGCAACGGATGGACGACGAGATTAACGGCAAACTCAACGGCACCGTACTGTCCAATGGGAACGGTATTCACAATATTGGTTACGAGAATTTCGATGAGATTCGCATAGAGCTCGAACCGGGCGTCGAGCAAAGGGTCAGCCCCGAGGGCAGGGAAAGGGAGACTGCGTTTAACATTGACTGACCTAAAAATGCAGAATATTCTGTGTTTGCATACATTACGATAATTATGTGATTTCTAGGCAATTTTTATTATTATTATTATTCTTATATATATATATAAATAAACTATTTATTCAATTACGATATTTTTGTGGTCATTTCAGACTGTTATTGTCGCAGAATATTCTGTATTTTAATTTAATTTTATTCTGTATTTATGTTTGTATTCAAGAATTGTTTTTTCTAATAAAACTATTTTTCTTATGAATGCAGTCAATGAGACACATACTAGACATCTATCGGTTTAGGGAAATACTTTGTAATAGTATAACAATAACTCTAATTAACGTTAGATGACAGGTGCGCACAGGTATCTCAACTATTTATGGAATAATACTACAGATTTTACACTACAGTTGTCACACAAATAGATCAATAATTACCAATCGATTATATACCAGTGAATAAATTAAAATTTAATTATTATATTTAAAAAATATTTTTATTTATTAATATTATTATAGTTTTATAACAAAACGCTTTTAGTGAATGTCTAAAAGAAAAAATTATTACAAATAAAATACATATTTTAAATTAGCCAGTATTATTCTTATTTATATAACTTTATAATATAATACTATAAATATAACATCATGGTAACTTCAATTGTGTGAATGTTGTCAAAAAAGTGATGTACTACAGTATGAGCAATAAAACTTATACAGAAAATATTGAACAGGATTATTCTGTATTTAAAATATCTTAAACTACTAGATTATTATACAGTATACATCATAGTTGACAATGACGAGGGTACATTACATCCACTATTCAGTCTTCAGTCTCGATGTCCTCAAACCTATTGTCTCTATTCCTTAACCCAAACTGCGATTTCTCAATATATCTGTTGTGGTTATGGTATCTATGATTGTAGGGTCGGGTGTCCTCAATAGTATAGGAATTCTCTTGAAATCTATTGTCATAGGGATGGGTCGGTGGGTCAGTAGGTCTGGTATGACTTTGTTGGTTGTACTCTCCATAAGCACTCTCCTCAGGGCTGTCATCATAGGAGGTGTCAGGCCGTCGGGTGTCGTAAGAGGTATCCGGTCTGTGGTTAATACTAGTACTATATGTGTGTTGTGTCTGAGGGGGTTGTGGTGTCGGTGCGGTAGTTGTCATTAGACTCAACTTTGGCACTAAAATATTTATTATTGAAGTTTTAATACTTAAATTTTAAATTAATTAATACAAAAATTTAAAGTAATTTTAGAAAATAGCGAATTAAAGATTATACGGTAGGAATTCATTTATAGATTATGTTTTATCAAGTTATAGCTCAGTGTTAAATGAATGATGTTTACTAGTATTTTCAAAAGTAATTATAAAACTAATACTGTAATGTAATAATGATTACTATTATTGTAAAACAATTATAAAATTATTTAATTTAAAAACTTAATATTTACTGTAACTTACAAATTTACAGTTTGTTATTATCTTATGTGTATATATGAGTGAGTGAGTGAGAGAGAGAGAGAGAGAGAGAGAGAGGTCAATTAAAATATCAAACCTGGTTTCCAACCCTTAGGATTCAAGTGTTTAGCGCCCACTTTGACAGCATTCGTACGAATAGTCTTATCATCGTTCGGATCATTACTATAATGTGTCTCAGGAGTGGCCATAACCTCACCGCCGGTGCCATTGCGGGGGTTGGGAGACGTGGCTGTGGTCTCCACATCAGCACCGGCTGGTAATATCATCAATATTAGGCTGTGATGAGAGGGTAGGCCTAAATTCTTATGTATGGTATCCATTGATGGTATGACCGGTTCCTTAGTGGTGGTTGTGGTGGTGGTCGCCCCCGGCTCGGCCATCACGGGGTCGTACAGTGTTTCCGACTGTTGATGTTGTAGGGGCTGCGAGTATGGGGCCGGGGTTGGGGTGTTATGGTGGGGCTGCTGGTGGGCATTGGATTCGTGGTGTTTCTGGTGCTGAGGGTCCGGTGTCTGTTGGGAGGGGTGGTCTCCCGTTTGCTCACCCGTTGACTCCCTGTTGTAGCCCTGCATGTCTTGGTGGCCGTAGCCGTAAGGTGTCTGTGGGCCCACATATGCACTGGTAGTTTATAATCACAAATCATTTTTAATATAAAGTTACCTTTGTAATTTTAAAATTCAAAAAGTTTTTATAACTTATATTTGCATTTTGTTGGAAATTATGCTACTGTAGTTAAGTTTTAAAGTAATTTATAAATAATAATTTCTAGATAATATTAAAGTGTATACTTACTTATAAAATGGCATTGGTAACACATTGAGAAAATGATTAGGGTGCTTTTGGCTGCTCAATAGTGCGCCCAAAATAATACCCTTAAGTAAATCCTGATTCGCCACTTGATATAGCGGTACGTAAGCTAAACACACATTGAATAGTAGCACACATTGTATGGACACTAAAACCGATATATTTTTCATTATTAACATTAAAAGTTCGCTAAAAACCAAAAATTGTAAAATAAAACTGATTTATAAAATAATATGAAAAGTTTATAAAACAATTAATAATTTTCAATCACTTGATACACTATTCACACTGTTATTCACAATCACTTGCACTCTCTGCCCGTGCTTTCAACTAAACTTCACAAAAAGATTTCAATATTGAAAAACTGTTTTGCATTAAAAAGTTTTTTTTGCCTAAAAAATTCAATGCAAACTCACATTTAGAGTACAATAGAGTGATTTGCATTTGAATTATGAAAATAGAGGGAAAAAAATTTTGCAAAAATTATGGAAAATTATGGTTTGAATAGCAAAATAATGGGTCAGAAAAAGAAGAGAAGGGCCTATTTTTTGGGGTGCCGTCACTTACAATCAATTATACATACAGTCTATATCCCAGCCCTGACTTGGTACTACATAACTACTTCTAAATGAATAAATAGATTATATATTGTGTTATATTTAATAAATATTTAGAAAAGTTTTAAAATAGAAATTAATTTTATGTTTTATTTTTGGAAAGTTTTTAATTAAATTTTCTATTTAATAGAAGGGAGAGAGAGAGAGAGAGAGAGCTATGATTATAATATAATACATATGTATTAAAACTTTATACAATACCGGGAATAGACTGTATTGTACGCGAAGTCCCCGAAACCAAAAACTAGTCTTCATTCGCATCACTAGACACTGGAGTAGGCTGTGCGGCACCGACACCCCAAACAGAGCACAGGTATGCCTATGGAGTAAAATACATATTAAAACAACTAATTACTCTGTCATTAGGATTGTGTGTCTGTTTTTGGCGCATATTTCTCGTCTCACATTAAAAGCAATTTCTTTACACTTTTTTGTCTCAAAAAAATAATTACAATATAATCACTATTTGTTATAATAATTCATATTTAGTTCACTCGTATTTGTGAACTAATTTTTCTTAAATTACCGTTTGAGGCAAATAATGAAAATAATAATAAATTCTTAATAAATAAAAACTATATTAAAATGCGCTTATGATTTATATAATTTAATTTGTAATTATAATTATTATGAGATATTTTGTGGTGTTTTAACAGCTAGAATGTATTTTAAATATAATTCTGTGTGATTAATTAATTATATAAATTATACATAATTTAAATAAATATAAGCTTTGCATTTTATTTATAATATAAAATTCTATTCATAAGTAAATTATTTATAAGACAAACAGGATTTTGTAAAACATGATGCAAATATTGAGATATCAAAATACTTATGTCATAACAAATGTTTTACAGATGTTTAATAGATATATATCTAAATGTTAACTCCACTGTATAATCATAACTATTATCGGAGTATTTATTATGTAATTAGCAGTGAATCTCTGAATATAAATGTATTATTATTTTCTATTACAGACTTCATTGAACACACACTTCGCTATACAATACGATGACTACTCGACTATAAATTTTATACAAATATCTAAAATGTTGTATAATTTATGCATTTAAGTAGTGTATACTCAAATTGTAATTTATATGATTTGCAAACTAAATGCACAAATAAATAGTTTTTGAGATAATATTAGGTGAATATAATGTCTGTCATCTCCCTATAAGGTGTTCATATAGTGAACAACTCGTGTGAATCCATGCCTTAAATAGATTTTGATTTTCTCTATTTGTGCCGTAAATTGCATTTTGCGCTCACTTTTAGACACAAAAGTAAATTATTTTCTAGTTTTTGATATTCTTATGATTTGTTTAATATTATGTTTTGTTATTAACAAGTTTTATTTTTTAAAGTTTTGACATTTGAAACAAAATTGTCATTTTACTTTTTTAATATCTAATACCTTAATTAATTTTTTTGTTTATTTTCAAAAAAACTATTTATAGCTATTTTGTGAATTTAAACACAATTATTATAATTTCAAATTATTTTCTACGCTTATACTTTAGACAAATTTGAAAAATACAGTATATATTGATTTTATATATAAATAATCTTAACATCTTGAGATAAGATTTATTTTGGTAATATATTAATCATATATTTGTGTTCAAACTACTAAATGTTCTAATTTTAAAATTATACAAAAAAGTTCACCAACATTTTTATTAATAACTATAATTTTAGTTACGTAACATTTTATACAAAATACGGTAATAGCAAAAAGGTTATTAAGTATATACCGTAAGTTATATATTTTAAAAGTTATTTATTTTAAAATTACAATTATAAATACAATTGAATCGTGCATTTAATAAATGTTTAATCCTAACATTATAAACTAAAATAAAACTACAAATAGTATTATAAAATAATAAAATAATATAATACAGATAAATGTATAATTAATTAGTTATAAATGTTAAGCATATTATTATTACAGGAAATATTCGCTGAACAATTTAATTATAAATTAAAGTGTTGAATTAAAAAATTATAAAATAGTATTAAAATTATTACATTTCTAATACCTGTAACACTAATAAAAATGAACATTTAATTAATGAAAACTTAATAAAATTTAAAACTAAATTAAAAATCCTGTAAATGCTATCATAAAAAATCATTTATAATGACTACTTGAATG